TGCAGGATGACGCTTACCAGCGAAACGACGTATGGCGGGAAGCATTTGTTATTGTCACGAGTTCGGTATATATATGTATATATATATATAACCGCTATTCGTATTTTGGCAAATATCATTGCGGGTTCGGTTCGATAACCGGGCGATTCGTCATGGACTTCTGGCCGATAGTCAAATGAACGAGTTTGCCGTAAATCGACGCGACGATGCATCGACGCATAAATCATCCGTCGTTCAGGTGCGCCTCTATCAGAGCTTACGGACGGTTTCGTTATCATTACGCATCGCACGTGCATTGCGCTAAATCAAATCCGGAAAATATTTTCGGAAGGACACGGTCGCGAGCCGGTGGAAGCTTATCGGTCCGCGTTATTTGCCGAGCGAATGGCAGACTAATTTTAACGCAACACGATAATTAATACGGGGAATAAAATGAAAATAATATAATAAAGTGTCCGGCGTAGCGGTAAATATCCCCGGAAAAATAGCCCCGGGAGTTACGCCCATTCCGTTGCGGCGTAATAGTTTGTTATCGTGATTTTTTTTTTTTACTGAGAAGATTCAGCACGATTCTCTATGCCGCGCCGCGGAGAGAGAGAGAGAGAGAGAGAGAGAGAGAGAGAGAGAGAGAGAGAGAGAGGGAGAGAGAGAAACATATATTTTTATTTTTATCGTTTTTTTTTTTAGTCACGACATTCCACCCAAATTTCTCATGTACATGCAAGAGCGCTTCTTTATAGCCGCTGGCGTTGATTATGCCTGCGTTCGAGGCCATATCGACCATAAGCATTATACACGGCGCTGTTTATACGCTAACAATAAGTAGGCGATCGTCGAAACCAATACGGAATCCTACGTCATCGCGCAAGTGGGCAAACAAAAAGCGAGTAATACGGTAGAGCGTATGCTATTAATGCCGGCATAATGGTAACTCTTGTTGTCGCTTCGTCGTGAGACAGTTATTACCAATCATCTCTCTTCTCTCTCTCTCTCTCTCTCTCTCTCTCTCTCTCATTCTCTCTTTTTCTGGCCTTCTCTCCCCACTCGTCATTACAAGTTACAACGTAGCCGGTTGGCCTTAATGTAATTGTGTACGGAGGTTCAAGCGATATGGCATAAAATCCTGCGCCATTGCGTCGTATGTCCATGTAGTTAACGTGACGTAAGCACAGCTTGGCCAACGTGTAAGCTTTATTAACTCGCCTCGAGTACCGCCCGACACTTAAAATCAATTAGTGGTACGCGTCAATTAGAAAGTCGGCCGCTTCATTCAACGTCCGAGTCATTCTTTGGACAACCAGTCGCTTCGACGCGGAATAATTCTCAAGGATGACGAAATTTGAAACAAGAGGCAATAACATTATCAGTATTTTAGAAGAGGCAATAATATTATTAGTATTTTCTATTATACAGATTCCTCGAAGTGTCGAATGACCGATTGTTCGATCATTTTATCCTTAGTCAATTATTGACACATTAGATAAAACCATCGCACGCCAGCAGATTGTCTATTTAAACTTTTTTTTATCTGAAAATCCTTAGATTCCCCCCCCCTTTTTTTTCCCCCCACTCCAGAAATAAAATCGGAGATCCGTAATTTGTTTTTGAATTACTAGGTATTACTAGCAATAATAAAATAAGACATTACATCGAACTTTTCGTTAAACTTCCATCTCGTGTCAACTTAGACCGATCAAAAGAAAATCTATATGGGAGCACGATCAATAGTTGCCTCAAAGCGACGATGAGGACGACCGATCAAAAGCAAACATACGAAGGAAACAGGTTCTCGGAGAGATACCACTGACTGTTGACGACATCGCGACGATATGTCGAAGTGATCGATTGTGTCTCGCGTGAAAGGGGAGGATCTCCGTTAGCGATGACTGAACACCACGTTATTATGCAAATCAAACCGGAAGTCTTTTGTGGTCTTCATCACACAAGGATACCGTCGTCTCTCAACAATTCAGTAAGGATGGATCGGTCTGATAAGATTTCGAATCGTTAGAATGCACCATAACAGATTTTAGCGAAATGTCTGATGTAGGGTGCAATTTTTTGAGAAATTTAAATATTTATTTATAGACATTTATAATGTAAAATTGTGTGACACAGAGAGACATGAAGTTATCAAATTATATGTCACATAATACTGTTTTATCTCAACAATTATATTTAATTGTGATAATTGCGTTATTTCCCAGCGTGATATTATTTTCATTTTTGTCCTTTTGATGTCACGGTTTGTCAAGGAAAATCTAATAATTAGCATTGCATAAATATTAATTATTGTTTCTTTCATAATTCAATACCGTATTGCAATTATTTATATATTTTTTCGAAATCCAATTCTCTCTGAGAGGACGGCAGCTTGCAATTGCTCTTGATGATTTTACGATGATTTGTAACATCCGGGATTTATGAGGCAATAACCGGTCTGATTGCTGCGTGTCTGTTCGCGAATCAATTAGAGTATATAATTACTACCAGAGAGTTATTATAATTTCGCGATTGCGGTAATGCGCGAAATAAGACTCTAAGAGTTACTTTCACCCACTTGTGCGCTTTATGTCTATCAGGAATGAGGATATGAATTACTTCGTCTAGATATAACACAAATAAAAAAAACAGATTAGAAATATAAAATTGACCTTTTTTTTAATGGGAACAATTTTGTAGGATGTTTTATTTTTGCACAAAGCATCGCGCAAGATATATATTGCAAACTCGAGAATAATTGAAGCGTTAGGAAAATAATGTATTGATTTTTAAAAGAATAGCCACAGAATCATCACCTTTTCATGGTGCAATGTATATATATATATATATATATACATCTATATTTTATAATAAATCTATATATACACACACAGAAGAAATTTATATAGAAACTTATATTTGTCTTTTAAATTTTCTTCTTGCGACATTGTTAACATTAAAGCTTCAAATGTTTTATCAGATTAATTTGTGTTTATAAATGTCTGGCATTGTGATATAAACACAAAATTTATTATTTGTAATAATTGCTGAATGCATTAATAACACAATTATAAATTATGTTATTAAATTTATAGTTTCCGACAATGTATTGCAATATACATGATGAGAAACGTTACGAATTCGCAGCTACGTGTTATCTTATTTTTTTTTCAACCAAGATATCGAGATAGACAGGAAACCGCGACTTACGAATTCTTCGCGGCGTGTGGTATCTGCTTCCTATCTATCCTTCCACGCCGAGAAATGCCTACTTTCTTCCTTCAGATTTTCTTTTATTTTCTCTTAACAATTTACATTTAACTCACCTACCCGAGCATAAAATTCCTTCGACCCTCGTAAAATTATAATACCGAAAGCATTCCCCATGTTTTGTTCATGTAAAGTATGAGGACCTGCTAGCCGATCGTAGAAAAAATGACGGCGATTGGCATTATTAAAGGATTATCTTGAGCTTAACTACAAATTGGAAGAAGACTTAAGGCATGCATAATAATCCGTGTGAGTTTTGTATTATATACTTTCACTGGTCTCTAAAAGAAAGAAAATACTTCTTCATAATAAATACGTTTAAATAAGGATAGAAAAGATTGCGAAATGTTTTAAAGACAGAAACAACATTAAGATATATGATACTAAAAGGTATTCAATATTAAGAACGCAATTTCTTCTACTTTAAATTATGTGTGTGAGAGAATCACTTATTTTTAATATTAGTTTCTCATAAAGTAATGATATAGATATCTGTATAAATTCTATTTTATTCATAAGAAATCTTATTTTAGAAAGTTAAAACGCCGAATAAAACACACACCAGCGTCACTGACTACATCCATTAACGATCTAAGATTAGCGGTTGATCTGGAGGTAGAAATTATTACTGGAGTGGCTAAAATTAATGACATACGATTCCAAATTCTACTCTGTATGACGCATTTGTAGTGTATCAATATACCATGTCACATTTCAACTTGACATCTGTACTTCATAGATATTATTTAAAGAAAACTATAACACTATGATACAATTTAGAATATTAAATATTAATAGATTTTAAATAGAATTGAACAAAATTATTTACAAGATATCTTATCATAAAAAGTTGCAATGAATAAATTAAAATACTAGCGTCATTAACTATATCTATTAACAATCTAAGATGAGTAGTTAATTACTTGATTTATTATATATCTTGTATTGGAACGATATGCTCGTTCACCAATATTTATTAAATTCAAATTTTATGGAATAAGTTATAGTGTAGATACTTTTGAAGAAGAGAGGTATCAGTATCCATGAATAAAGAGGAAGCTTAAGTAGTTCATTTCACGATTATCAGTTATGATTTCGTTACACCACATCGCACTGTTAGCGTTTCCACACATATTATGTCATACATGACCCTGACTCGACTTTCCTACATTACGATCGAGTTACACATCGCTCGCACATGCAGTGACCGCTAAATTATATTCCTTGACTCTATGATTTAATAATGCATCGCTGCGAAATCCAGCAGGTTTAATAAAATTTGTGACAAAATGAAAAAATTAGACCTTTGCTAAGCTAAAATAATATTCTTATAATTCTCTATTGTGATTGACTTGTATATTTCATGTCAGTTATATTTTCAATAATATTAACAGAAAAATAAAATTACATCAATTTTTTTTCTTCTCTCATTTTTTCCAATATATTTAATGAAATTTATCAAAAAATTTATAGAAAAAAATTCATGCACTAGTTTTATGCTCTCTCTTTCTCGAGTATTATATACTAAAAGAATATGAATAGCTGTGTTAGAACGTTCGTGAATGACAGATTAGAAATGTTAAGATAAATTCAACCATTAAATATAGATAACTTTAATTTCGACTAAAGAAACTCGCTAAATAATTTAATGGTTCTTTTTTCGATCGTTTTGGCGGTTGTAGCTTTGAATTCGCAGCTTAAAAAGATTTTGAGAAAAAGGTAAAAACCACTTGAAAATGTGCACTGACCTTGAGCAAGTTTCGGAAGTACGGACTGCAGGCCGAAAGAACGATCTTGTGTGCGGTGAAGCTGCAGCTGTCGCAGGCGAGCGTGACGTCGACAAAATCTTCCACATCTCTCAGCTGACGTACGGAACTGAGAATGCTCGATTGAAAGTCGTTCCATCTAAGAGAGTATTGCTGCTCTCCGCCGGTCGACGAGGACGAAGAAGCCGCCATGGCGTCCGTCCCCTTGAGAACGACCCGCGGTGCTATCGTGCTCACACTCCACGTGTTGCTCTATACCCTCGGACCTTCACACTTCACCTTCACCAGTCTTTCTTCGTTTACACTCACGCTTCCTATTCCTTGTCTGTATATTCCGTTCTGTATATTCCTTAAAGCTCCGCGATTCAACCGCGCCCGAATTCAATCGCCAAGATAATAACCTGGAGGAACGCCTCGCAGCGTTCAACAATTGTTCGATGCTTCGAAACAGATCGTCACAGATTCCTCTTTACGGTTTGTTCCTTCCAAGGATATTGATGTTATCAGAAGTGAAAGCCAAGAAATGAAAGCTAAGCGCCCAATCCCAAATAAAAGTAGGTATAGGGGAAACTTCGCGTACACCACGTTGAAGAATCTCATAGTACTTGGCTCATGATAGGTGGCACTTGGAAGCGCACGGTAAAACGTCGGACTGAGATCACGAAATAATGTAGTGCTGCTACATGTACTTCGCGCGAGAGACTTGACGCGATTGCTTATTTTGATGGCTCGCAGTTGCCGTCCTCTATTGTTTCTGACAGTGAAGTAATCCGCTGTTAGCTACAAAAAAACAAATAGCGACTATGTTTCCGCACAATGCAAAGTAAATAAATAGAACGATCGGTTCTTTTGTTTTTTATTATTGATTTAAGACCGTGTTCCGATATACAGGCCGGTATTTATAGTCGGATTTTATATTTAAGACCGTTTTAAATGCAGTCTTAAGATATCGTAAGCCAATCACATCTTAAGACGAAAAATAAGAACCGACTGTGGCTACGGTCCATCTGATGCTATCAATATTTCGAAGCATTTTTTCATTAGTCAGTTAGTGAAATTTTTTTCTTCCGATTGGTCAAAAAAGTTTCGAAGCATCTGTAGCGTTAAATGGACCGCATCCTATGACCATATAAATGCAATACTAAAAATTTTAAATCTATAGTATACGTTATGCAGGACCGCCGCAAGCAGGTGTGCAAGTTGTGCACCGCACAAATGCGTTAAAAAGAGAAGTTAAATTAAGTTTTAATCCTCCATTTGCATGTTTTTATTCTTTCTGTCTGCAATCCAGGTTTTTTGTCAAGCTTCATTTTTGTATCATTATAAGCTTTCAGAAAATATGGAAAATTTCAGAGTTATTTTTCAACATTTTTTTCTTTTCAACAAGATTCCTATTAATAAGATATTTTAAGAGAAGAAACCGGACTCTGCTTTCCTTTTATTTCAAAGAAATTTATATAAAAATGAAATTACTTGTATCAAAAAAGACTCAGATTACAAAAGAAAGGTTAAAATTATCAGATTATCGATTATTTCTCTAAAGCGGATACATGTGAAAGTGAAAAATTTCTATATCAATTTCAATGAAAAATTTTCACTTTTTACATTTCTGTTTTAGAGAAAAAAAAACCTTCTATGATCAAATTACACCTTGTTTAAAAAACAAAAAAAACTTTAAAAAATTATTTTAAAATGTATCTTATCGGAAAAATTGAGGGTAAATAAAAATATTAAGAAGAGATATTATATATGCAAAATCTTCTTTGCACAAAGGTGCCTTCTATGCTAGTGGCGGCCCTGACATTACATATGGTACAGATGGTCAATACTGGCAGTGTATGAGCCATAGCACATAGAGAAAAATGTAAGGGAGTAATATCCACTGAAAAAACGAGTGCAACACTATGCGCATTAAGTGCAATTAAATGCAAATCAATTCACATATTTTCAACGTTAATAAATAATTTAACTCTTTTAATTACATTTTCTTTGTTGTCACAATAAGATCATATCTTTAAAAGAGGATTAAATTATTTATTAACACTGAAAATATGTAAACTGAATTTATTACACTGAATTGCAACAGTTTTGTATTTTTTTCCAGTAAAAAACATTATTTAGACACAAGCAGTAATCGGTCAATCACAATAAAGACTGGATGTGTATGGTCAATAATAATATAATTCTTTTGAAGTATTCTTTGATTGATCAATTCATAAAATTTTTTCTTCTGATAAATCAAATGCTTTAATGAGGTTTTGACTACATCCTAAAGCAATAAAGTAAGCAGTAGCAACTTCAAAATATTAATTTGCTTACTGCTTACATATTTGTGTATTAAGGCGTTATTGGCCTTATTATATATACAGAACACAGCCTAATGCATGAGCTGAAAGTACGTCTTGATGTGAAATTACGAACCGATAATTAAATACTCAAATTATTAGAAACATATTTTTCCTTTTAAAATTGAAACATCTTACATTCTCAAATTAATATTAATATTTAATTTAATTATTCATTAAAATTTTTTATTCCATTCTCATAATATATTATGCGCGCATAAAATCTATTTATTTACTTTCTGTATTGTTTTTTTAAACAATTTTTACATAATTTTTTAATATTTGCCATTTTGTATATAATTGAATTAAGTTTTTTCTGCTTAAATATAATAAACATAATAATTGTTTTTTCTTTAGAAATATGTTAATGTGAAAAATATATTCAAGATAACATAAAATTAAATAGATTGATTTATTATAATTTACCTACTATGCGAATGATATTATTGCTAATTCATGCATGTATATAGATTGATGAAATTTTTATGCAGTTCCCGGGAATCAAAGATTACATTTTTAATGGTTACTGACTGGCCAGCTGTCCATGAAAATTTAAATATGTAATTCGTAACGAACGCATTATGTGATACATTTTTAATATCGGACTCGTTGGAGACTATTAAAATTTAAATTTTAATACGCCATTCGTAATGAACAAATTAGGTATTATCTTGCCAATGTAAAACTCGCCGCTAATGGAATTGTTCAATCGACCTTAGCGTGCGCAATCGTCCGATGTAAAATATTTTTACATTTATTTCGTAAACCTTTCATTAGCAACCCCTTCACATTGTTTATGCCGAAATCATAAAAGCCACGAAAATTCCAATAAAAATAGCAACCTGTTCGATATTATCATGATCGTTCAATCGTAAAGTTCATGACAATTAAAAACGTTAATTTAATATACTCAAGAATATTTATTAACTTACACATAATTTCAATTAAATATTCAATAAAACAAAATACACGATAAAGTTAATAAGAAGATCATATCTTCATTATATCAAAAAATTACACCAATAAAATATTAAAAAATTCACAACAATACGAATCTATATAAATTTATATATCACATAAATAAAAAAATAATAATTTTGTGTAAAAAGAAATGTGTAGAAAGAAAATATGTATGTATTTAGAGATACTGTACAAAAATTAATTAATCTTAGAATATTATCGATACGTGTAAGTATCAATAGGTCAATGAGCGCTAAGTTATGCCTTCAGTGATCATTATGAGAATTCCTACCTGCTATACTAAAAGATAAGACAAACAGAGACAAACTTTTAAAAATTCTTTCCGTTATATATCAGTTTGTTATGATATTGACTCTCGAATGGTCAGTTTTATAACAGAAAGCGTGATAAGTGATTTTAATTAAGCAAATTTGTGTTATTATACATTTTATTTAAGTTATGAAAAGAAATGCATAATATATACAATTGGACTATATACGCTATATTATTTTAAAATTGAATTTGATAGTATATTTATTTTTTCTTCTATTTTAAGTTAATAATTAGGTTATTTATGTTTATAAAGGTCTAAATTATCAATATTTTGTAGATTATAAATATTAAAAGTGCGAAATATATTAAAAATTGTACGATACATTAATTAAAAGTAATCTATTGAACATAAGTAGTCAACATAAGTCTACATAAGCAAGAGAAGAGAAAAAGAAAAGAGTCAACATAACATAAGTCTATTAAATAAAAGTAGTCTATTGAACATAAAATTTACGTATCGATAGCAATATTGTATCACTCAATAGCGATAGCATTGTAGAGTTAATAAGCATAATTGATTATACTTGAAGATTACAAAATCAATAATTGAATATAAAAAGCTATAAGCCGATGCAAGGTAAAAATGCACTCTTTTAATAATAAAACAATTTAATTTAAAATTTAATCCGTTTCGTATTTTATATAATTTTCGACCGATATAATACAATGCAATGTTCCAAATTCAGAAATCTTTTATTTCAAAAGATTTATTTAAGGAATAACTAATATAAAATTATAAAAATAACTAATATAAAAATCTAATTGACATTTACGTCAGAGAGCATCAAATAATTAGATCACTCTTATTTCTTTGTACTAAATTTGAAATTTCCAAAATTAATATTTTGAACTCGAATGCATACTTAAGATGTTGTGATTATGGTTAACACCATATATGCAGAAATACATATACTCGCTTTTCGACGGTATAATAAATATTAAAATCAATTATTGATTTTAAAATAACGAAAATTTTATTTTTCTTTAAATCAATACTATAAATTATTATAGAGATAAATACCTTAGAAATGTCCGGCGTTGAACTTTTTGAATGCTTCTTTAATTTGACAGCATTAGATACTATATCTAATTAGTATCAGATACTGTAGGATGAAAGTGTAGTATCTGCTGAATAGTTCCTCGAAATTGAAGTATTTGGCTACTTTTTTTTAATTTTGATTGTTCGACCACTTTGTCCGTATAATATTGACAATCAGATATTTCTCGAGGAACTATTTCCATTACATCATCCCGACTTCTGGTTTGTAAGCTGTTAACAAAATATAAGATGTTTTATTTATTTGATAACTTCTAATCTAAAAGAAATGATAGAGATAGGTTCGGTTTTTCATCTGGTTAACTTGTGATTAAGTTTAACATGATGTTTCACCCAATGATAAAACATCAGGTTAAACCTAATGAAAGAAAGCCATATGTCCAAATATTAATTTATTTATCACATAATAGTAGTAATATTAATATACTTATTAATAGTACATCTCTTAGAACATCCAAATTTTTTCTTTTTGTCTTTTATTGTTCAATAATAACAATTATTGTATATTCTTTTATGTGTTAGTATATTTTTAGAGTATTTACCTTATAATAGAAATAAATCTTCTCTTTTTCTCTCGCTCTTTCTTAATGTTTAATTGTTCCTTGAAGATGTTAGTATATATCACTTTTTCGCGCATACCGAAACGCTTGCACCTTCTGTCCTTCTGCGTCGCGGTCGACGCGTCAGTCCGACATCCAGTGCCGGGAAATGAGCCTACAAAGGTTCTCCTTCGTACTTTTATTCCTACTATTAATGACAAAGACACTTATTCCGATGTTTTTGCTTACCATTCCTCTTCCGGTTTTTATTCACTTTGTTTATTTTTCTTTTTTTTTTTGTTCAGTTTTATTTGTTCAGTTTTTATTTATTCGGTTTTCAGGTTACACACTTTCCTTTCCTGTAATAGACACAATTAATACAAGTTAAGTGATTCAGATTCGATTTCAACAAGTGACAAGAGAAATACGTTAATGATTCTTGCATAACTAAATTGTAAATTTGTAAATTTGTATTTGAACGTTAATTTGGATGATAAAAACAATTATTTCATTGATATATTGAGTAAGAATTATTGTAATTATGTAAGAATTATTTATATTATTAAATATTGGTAACAAAATAAATAAAGAGTTGACATATAAAATAATCTGATTTATTTATTTTTACATAAATGAAGAAAGAAAAAAATGTAAAAATAATGCTGTGAAATTAACAATAACGTTGGGAACAAAAGATAAAATCATTTAGATTTTCTTTCATTTTTGTGTTTATATTATTAATAAAATGTTATTTAACGACTTATAATTGAAAAAGTATGACGATCGAAGGAAAAATTTGTGCACCCTAATATTTCATATCAAATTTTCAATTATAATATATAATATTTCAATCTTCACCGAAATTACAATTAAATCACTTTATAGCACTGCTATGAAACGATTAGAAAAGAATAATTAAAGAATAGCACATGCAGTACCTACTTCTTTGATTATACTTACAAGTAGATATATATCAACCGGTCTATTCGCAAAAATGCTTTGTAACGGAATCTTCTGAACATCATTCGGTTTATGACTGTTTTATTCGCGTGTCCGTCTGACTGAAATGTCCCGTGAAACTTTTGATTTTTCAAAACCTTTACAGGTATCTCGACACTTAATGTTCGGTTGGACGCATACATGTTATATGTTCTTCTTGGTGATATATAACCGATAACGGTACAACTATATGGAAGGTCTATAGGTTTGTAATTAACTACATAAACAATTTTAAATTGTTAAAATTTGTCGGAATTGTTTTTCTTTGAAGACTAATGGAATACTCTTGTTAAAGTGACATTTTCTTGTATATTTGTCATATATTCATCACAATTTGCTAAATATTAAGAAATTTTTAACTCATAATCCAACTTATGTATTTTCCTTGTATAATTTGATTTTTACGTAATTATTTATAATAAGAAATTATATTATTTATAATAAGATGTTTTAAAAATTTCTAAATTTTTTTGTAAATCTTCCAATTTTTTCATATCAAACATTAATTAAAGTTTAGATTTTATGCGTAATATTTATTTTAAAAATGAATGATATTTCAGTAAAAAAAATATTATCAACATTATATATATATCAAGCACGCATTAAGAAATGGATTATTTCTAATAAAGTTGTTCTAAGTTATGCGTGCCTTAGGCATTGTAATTACCGGACGATTTTATGATGAGATGCTCTTTACTTGCATCATATACGGAAGAGTCATCGTAGAATTATTTTTCATTTACTTACAACTCTAATTGTAAATCATTTGACTTTTACGATCGGTTATATTTCTTTCCACCGTACATCGATTACTATAAATACAAGTGCAATGTCCATTGCGTTTGCTGTCTCGATTCACTCCAAGTTTTCTCATTGTTAGTTGATTGCGCTAATAGAAAACGTAGATTCAAATCTACGTCTTTTATTTTGCATGCTTTAAACATACAAATTTACATGCGTATGTTATATCTGATAGTAATTTTTTAATAATCTATTGACCAGATAAAATCTCTCGATCAACATGCTAATAAAATATGCCATAAAATATCTTTTGCAATCGTTAAATAAATATTTATTAAATACGAAATATTTTACAAGCAATAAAGCATATGCGTTCAAGCTACAAAAATTGTAATTTACGAAAGTTTAAGCAGATTAAAATAAGCACATGATAAGAATAATATGCACAAAAACAATAATAATAATAAATTAATAATAAAATTTGATATTTTTTTACTTAATCTTTACATAAAATTTGCACGTATATATATAAATATTATGTATTAAATAAATAAATGTTATAACAATAGATAATAATTTAATTTCAAAATATTATTATGGGTTAGAGAGGGCGGGGCTATTCCGTCAGTTTCAACTTTAAAGTAAAATACGAAAAATTACGATAGCAAACAATATCTTTTTACAGTCTTATAATAACATTGTACAATGTTATTATATTATAGCAATCATGATTGCTTCTTGAGAGCACAAATACGACTTTTAAATAATCAACATATGCCATAGAAATAAACATTGTCGCAAGAAATAGACGAAAAAATCTCGCTCTACTATTCTCATTGTTGTTTTGAATTAACAATGGTGAAGAATCTTGCAGCTTAAAGATCAAAGATTCTTATCTAAAAAGAAGAGAAAGATATCGAAAGAAAAGAAAAAGATAAAACTAATAGTGACAATAATGATGATGATAAATTTTTAAAAGGAAAAGAAAGAAAACACAAAAGAGAGAAACAAGAGGAGTAATTATATCTTGGAAATCAATGATTAAGAAGTAGAGGTTTGCCTAAATAAAAATTTTCAATCACTACTTTTAAACTCTCCTTTTCGTATAAAGGAAAGGTATAAAAAAATTGATCGTGTTATTCAATTCTATGTTTGTGACAGAGTTATAAAAAAAGATTCTAACGCCACAAAGGAGCATACAATTTTAATGTAATCGCTATATTATACATTTTGAGTAGCACTTCATTCATAAGCCGGAGATAAATGTAGAATTTATATACCAACAAGACGTATATAATAGTTTTGCGATCTCTTCCTCCCGAGTGTTTTACATTTCACCATTTAATTTCCATTTAAACAAACTCTGTGACATCGCTCTTATCGTCCGGTGGTTATCAGAGAAATGTAAAGCTTGATCATGTTTGCCCGCACAATGTATGATCGCCTTTGCCGCTTTAATTACGAAAATAGCTCGATCTCGCCTGATAGCAGCTGCGTTGTTTCGCATTTCCGCGTATATAGTAAAGCTTTATAAACAAACTGCCCGAGATATCGCGGAGTAACATATGGGTGTAGTCTGAAAAAAGCTGCGGCTACGTACGTAATGCAATTACAAAGTACGTGTCGGGAATTAAAAGCACATAAGTCGCAGCGATTACACATTATGAAACTGTTATACTGATTTTGAAAGCGGCCAGTATAATCACCGAATGGGAATCTATTTAAAATAAAATTGGTAGTAGCGATGATAATCGAGAATCATACGTGTAGATATCAGCCGATATTGCAAATCAGATACGATTTCAATATTGATCATGAATTCAATATTGATCATGAATTCTGTGGTCGAGAGGCAATCAATAAATTGACTGCAGCCATGTATTTACGGTTATTGCATAAAGTATGAACACGTAACTGAAGTCAATGTAATGTGTAAAATTAAAAAATTTGCATAATAAATAATTACAACAAAACTGCATTAACTTTTTTTTAAAAAACAAATTTGATATAAATATGTTTTATCGGAGATTTATAAAAAAAATATAATATAACTGCAATATATATCCAGTATTATTTAGATTTGTACAAAGTGAAAGAATCTTAACACAGACAAATATATTTGCTGCAAAGTCATTTAGGTACTGCATCTTGCGGCTGGAACAATAATATATATTGAACAATCACGTATTATGAAATTGAAATGATTACGATTTCGTAAGAGTGTAGCTAGAAAGCGTTGCAAGCCTGCGGAATGTGCTTATCTACTTTTCTTTCTATGACTTGAAGAACTTCTACGAATGTACATTTTACCCGACCGGCGGGCTTACATCTTTCCAGAGCGGAATAAATCATAGCTAATCACAAATGCAACTGCTGACACTGCGAACATTTATCTTCGTATCATGTATTTGATTTGATACAGTCATGTGTGAGAATCAAAAGGAAAACAATATCTGCCAATTAAGTACCCAGGAATTCGGCTTCTCAGGGATTAACGCAGTTGGCTCGAATACATTCTAATTAAAAATAAAAATCGAGATTGTGTAATTTTAAAGACATAATGTTTATCATTACAGTGGATGAAATAGCTTAATTTTTTGTCTTAATTATAGCTCCAATTATTATAATTAGCTCTTTTTTATGATTATGGTATTTTATTTTTATGATATCTTTGCAAAATTAAAAATGCATATCTCAAAATACTGAATTTAAATTTTTTGATTGAACCAAGAATTCATGTTTTTATTTATTTAAATTTGGGAAAATTAAAATTTATTCTTGCAAAATTACGCATACACATTGGAATATTTCAATTAAAATTACGCGTAATTACAAAACTGTATTATTGTTCATGAAAAAAATAGTTTTTTTGCAAGAATGTCTTATTTTGAATGTTTGAGTAAAACACTATCTTAAATTGCTATTTGATTTATGTGTTTTTCGCTCAGGTATTTAACTTGTGAATGTGTAAAATCGTAACACGAGAACGTAAAACAGAGCGTGACACGCGCGGCAACGTGTGTGCTGCAGGCATTCCATTGTATCGTATGAATGAACCACGTCGCCCGGGAATACATTTCGACTGATCGATCGACATCCAAACTGTTCTCGGCATCGAAGCGCAAATATAATTCCGGCATCTGTCAATTGATGAAAAATGCGAATCACGCATTCTAAATTATGTATAATTTTGAAATATTATTTGCTTTAAGTCGGAATTTTATTTAAAAAATATATACATATATGTCTTTTATGCTGTAATGTAAGTGTGGATGTAATGTATATATAAGCAGACGGATAAATAGATCAATAGATGGATAATTTATCTAAAAATAAAGATTCTGCAGGTTGACATTTTCTTTAAGAAACTAATATAATAAATGCATAGAGAAAAGAAGACAGTAATAATAAAAAATTAGCCACAATAAATTGCACAGTAAATACTAAATTAAATGAAACGCAATGAGATAAAAATAAAATATAATAAAGAGAAGAAAGTCAATTCAAAATGAAGGGAAAGTAAAGGGAAAAGAAAAAATGGCAGAATAAAAAAAGATTTAAATATTATACAAGATTGTAACCCAAAGTTTCCAAATTATATTAAGAATACATTTGAACC